TATTTTAACCGAATTCCATCATCATCACTTTTAATAATTAACGTTTGTTTATAATTTTCAGAGAAAATCATATTTTTACCAACGAATCGGGGTTCAGAGATAATTATGTACAAAGGTTACACATTCTCGTACCGCCACAAAAAACGTTTCTTAGTCTGTTCCAGTTATTTTAGTAAGAATTGCAAAGCAAAACTACGTATGGGGCCTGATGGTCGTACCATTTTAGTTGAGTATGAGAAGCATAATCATCCGGCGTCGCAGTACTATAAATCAACAGATGGCTATTATATTAAAATTAGATAAACATGTATTACTTTTATTCCAAAATTTGTTTTATTAAGTTGATGTTTAAATTATAAATGACTATTATTTTTATGATTATTTTTATTTTACTTAATTTTATTCTTTATCATTAGGCTTTTTTATATTTTATTCCTGTATACCATTATGTTACATTCATATAATATTTTTTCATACAAACCACCTTTGCTATTCGCGTTGCACCCGTGAACTGCGTTCATGATCAAGGGATCCTAATGAGTTCAAAACTAGTCGGGTATTTTCGAATTTAAAAAGTAGAGCAAAACTAAAATAAATAATTATAATAAAACCATCTTTTTGGAGTTTTCTATTCCTTGATATCCATGCGAAACTTTTTTTTAGTGATATAATTCTCACCGTATGTCTCATGTTATACCACATTTACTACCGTCTTCTCCACCTTCGGGTATTCTGTTTTACTCTTTCTATTAAAATTTTGTTAAATTATTTTATTTACTGATTTCATATTCTATTTCTCTATTTGTAATTGTGACTGATCATATTTTTTTTATCAGATCAATTACAATTTCTGCCATTAACACGAGGCACGACTGTTACGCTGTACAAAGGTTATACATTTTCATACCGGAATTGTAAACGCCAAGCTGTCTGTTCTAGCAAAAAAAGCAAGCAATGTAAAATGCACTTACGAGTTGCTGAAGATGGCAAGACTGTACTGTGGGTCTTCGACGTTCATAATCACCCCCCGCCACGTTACAATAAAACTGTTAATGGATATTATACTAAAGTATCTTAGCAAAAAGCATTTGTTTTTTTTTGTAATGTAGATCTGAGAAAAAATAAAACAAGTAACAAATAATTTAGTATCGTGCAGATATTTTCTCCTTAAGTAACATAATTTACATATTTAGTAATAAAAAACTATTATAATTTTATTAATATTAAATTAATATTCTTACGGCTAATTAAAAAAATCTTATTCTAATAATACATAGAAATATAACAGAGGTAAGCAAATGTACAAAGGCAAGGTCAACTCTAATAGAGTCCTCTTTCAGCAAATTCGCAAAAGTCGTTTGCTTTCCATCAGGTGGTCCATCAGCTTGTTTGCCATTCTAAATTGCATAAAAAAGAACCCAAAGGAAAGGAGCATGAATGTCAGCAGTTAGAGCGGTGTACAATATTGTGACAATTTTAAAATAGAACAGAATTAGACAAACTTAAGTCTATATATAACAAATTATATCATATTTAATCGTATATATACACACGTACATACAAAGCGTATGTACCTATAATGTAACGTGTAGTAATTTTTATAATATATTTTAAATGAATGAAGTTACAGATGTATTACAACGATGAAGAGCCTTAGAATTGGGATTTGTACTGCAACTAATCGTCAGTATTATTTTTCTAGAGGAATTAGAATTTCTGCTAACAGCACGTGGCACAGAAATTATATTATACAAAGGCTACACGTTCTCCTATCGGAATGGCAAACGGCAAGCAGTGTGTTCAAGCAGGAATAGCAAGGAGTGCAAGATGAGATTGCGGCTCGCCCTTGATGGCAAGACCATTTTGTGCACTATGAATGAACACAACCATCCACCTCCATTGTACCACAAAACGGCTCACGGACGATATATTAAAGTGAATTAGAAGAAGAATCTCAAATGAAAACTTTGGCGTTTCTTTAGTCTATGATTTTTCACACATATATACATATTAGTTTACCAGAGGGAGACTTTGTACAAAAGTCGATTGCTTGAGTACCTCTGTCCCATTCGTGTTTCAACCGTGAAGCAGTTGTGTTTGCATGACTGTGTTTCGGTTTGAATGGTGGGATATGGCATGAATTTACTGGGTACAGAGGAATAACACCTGAGTCCTCAGGAATGACAACGCATGGGGGGTATCATGGGCGAAACAGTATACTCTGTTATGTCAATGGTACTGCTCATGTCTATAGGCGACGGTTACCATTTTCCATCAGGTGGACCGTCAACTTGTTTGCCATTCTAAGTTGTATAAAAAAAAATATTAGTAATAGTTATAAGTTTTGTTATCTGTGTTTACCATTCTTGTATGGAGTGTTATGAAAAAAAAGCTTAATATGATTGATGAGACAGAGGTACCCAAGCAATCGACTTTTGTACAGTCTCCCTCTGGTAATGGTATGTAATGGTATACAATAAATACCATAGTCTACCCGTTGTATGAAACTGTTATTGTGCGACGTATGTTCGTATTAAATTGAAATTTATTTTTTTGGATTGTACCTATGTACTTATAATTTATTATTGTTAAGAAAACACAGTATTTTCAATTAATAAATAGTGTTTTATTTATGCACCTACTTTCATACCTTTAGCTGACGGTGTCGTGTCTCATTATGACAGCTTGACTTCGAAAAGTTCTCAATTCGATTGTATTTTTTATTTTATGTTTGTTACCTCATAATGCCGTCAGTTGCAAACCGATTTGGATTTTTTTTATCTAAAAGGATATTTGCAGGATAGGATACTTGCAGGTCCCATAGAAATTTTATCGAAATAAGTTCAGTAGTGTAGTTTTCAAATCATAATAACTGGTTGGAAAAAATAAGCTAAGAGAAACGCCACAATATTTTTAGGACCTTTTGAGTGTAGGGTAATATTTATTTTTTTATATATATTCTCTCTTACGTTGCTGAGATAGCTTTTAAACAGTACAAACAAAGAGTGTATACTGATTGGACATAAAAACGGAAGTATACTATCAAGTATTATTTGTTCACGGACTACTTGATGCTTTTTCAAACGACTTCAAAAAAGGAGAAGTTTCCCAATTCGGTTGTTTTTTGTTTTTGCAAGGTGAAAATGGTATGGTAACCCCGCCTGCGCTAACGGGACACGCTGGCGGAGCACCAGTGAAGGGTGATAGATGAGAATGAAAACAGGCCAGTTAGCCCATCATGATGAATTCATCAGGAATTAACCATGATAGTTTCCAGGGGGAACCGCGAGAAGGTCGACCTGGTTGGGTATATTGCTAGCAATAGGATCCTCAGTCTCCATTACTAACAATCCCTTTCCCCCTCCCAATTCGGTTGTAATCTTTTTTATGTTTGTTACCACGTAACTCGGTCATAAGTCGAATGGAAAATTTCTTTTTTATCTGAAAAAATATTTATGAAACCAATTATGATAAATAAAATATTTATCGTAATCGTTTTAGTAGTTTAGTTTAAAATAAAAATAACTCATTTGATCACGGTGGAAGTGGATTTTTATGTGGAACAAAATCTTACATTATTGGAATATATATATACTCCTGTTTATTATTTTGTAAAGTAGTTTTTTGTGATATAAAATCTTAATTATTATGTTAACTAATGTATGTATTTTGTGCCCTGTATGTCTTTTTTTTATACAACTTAGAATGGCAAACAAGCTGACGACCCCCGGAAAATGGTAACCATCGCCTATAGACATGAGCAGTACCATGGACATAACAGAGTATACTGTTTCGCCCATGATACCCCCTATGCGTTGCCATTCCTGAAGACTCGGGTGTTATTCCTCTGGACCCAGTAAATTTACGCCATATCCCACCTTTCAAACCGAAACACAGCTATGCAAACACAACTAGACGTAACATAATAAACGATAATATTGTACCTATCATCTGTAATATATTGAAATTATAATATTATATTTGTTTTAAAAGAGTTATTTTTTATTAATACGCACCTTTTACAGAATTAATTACTAAAAGAAAAGAGAGTAATGTCTTTTGACAATATGTATGTGTATATGATAATATATTGTCCATATGATAATATATAGCAGGGTGGCCGACTTGACTAGACCCAAGATCTACTGTTTACTAACGAAATCCTGTGCGATCTACCAATTACATACTTCTTGAAATTTCAAATGAAACAACATAGTGCTGTACACAATTATTGTAGTATTTTTTATTCTGTGTCCGGGATATATTGATTGACCGGGTTAAAAAGTAATATATGTCCTTCTCCATCACAAATAATATAGTCATAGACTTTTGTATATTTAAAGACTATGTAATTTTAGAGATAGTATATAATAAATGTACATAATGTGAACAGAGATTTGGAATTTTTGTTAACTTTCTTATAATTTCTTTTCTACAGGTATCTTTTCGAAACTATTACTAATACACAAAAAAGACGGTTGAAATATACTTTTATTTAAACGTACTTTAAGTTTATTTTGTTTTTAATGTATAATTAAATATTATTAATTCCAGAACAAGTTGTGATATTTCTCAATACACGAGGAACAGATACTGTTATGTATAGGAACTACACTTTCAACTATCGCAATAAGAAACGGCGTGCTGTTTGCTCTAATATCAACAGTATGAGGTGCAAAGCGACGCTCAATCTTGCACCAGATGGCAAAACTGTGCTGGCCGCTCAGAATGAACATAATCACGGACCGCCATTGTATCATAAGACATCTAGTGGACGATATATAAAAATTGGTTGAATCTATATATATATATATATATATATATATATATATATATATATATATATATATATATATATATATATTGATTTATGAATATATATATATATATATATATATATATATATATATATATATATATATATATATATATATATATATGTATTATATATATATATATATAGTTTTTATTTATTATTATTAGTTATATCTCACCTGTAAACAAAGAAACGACATTTAAAGTTTATTTTATAGCACTTGTTTAATTATATCAGTATTTTATTTATAAGTTTTAATTTTACTTTAATAACATAACCTAAAAATCCACACTTTGTCTTCGATCACGTCAATTCTCCGTTTTACTACTTGTGGCTCCATCTAACGTGTCTGGTAAACAACTTACAATCGCGCGGAGAGCGTCAAAATATCATTAAAGGCGGTTGCAAATCCGACTACAAGGCATGGTGACTCCTGCCGAAACTCCCCAAGGAAGAGGCCTGTGAAGGCCAGCAGTGATCAGTTAACGGCTGATATAATAACACTGGTCTACATCAAATTTACTTTTTACATGGAAATGTACTATATTGATTGTATTTCACTCGCTAATGATACATATATATATACAAGTTAAAATTCATAGTTAGCTCTTATTGTGCATTTGTGCCATATATAATATAATAGCGGGCAGTGCCATAGATTTATCACATTAATGATGATAATTCAACATATTTAGTGATTACCCGCGGAAATTTTATTAATTCATATTTATTAGTTGAGTTTAACGCTAACTGTATTTTGTTCAACAGTTAAAACGTGAAATTGTTGTTTTTTTTTTTATAATAGTGAAAATTTATTTTAGTGAAAAATCTACAGTTTTCATTATGTCGCGTAAATGTGGTTATAACAATGGTGTTGGGTTTACAAATAGGCTATATCAAGTACTGTTTTTTTTTTGTGTGAGTCGGGCTAGATCTTTACATTACATAAAAATATATTGGAATCGTGAACAAAGCCTGAATCCTGAAGAAAAGTACATCAAGCATCTTCCTCTAGTAAATTCTCAAAAAAATCTTCGACCACCGTTACATATTAAATTGGGACTAATGAAAAACTTTGTGAAGGCTCTCAACAAAAATGGATCAGCATTCAAATACCTGCGAAGTAAATTTCCTCGTATAAGCGACGCCATAATAAAAGAAGAAATCTTTATCGGACCTGATATAAGAGAGATTCTGAAGGATCAAAACTTTGATCCAGTTTTACTGGGCTTTGAAAAAGAATAAAAAAGAAGAATTCCACTAAGATATCTTGACAATAGAAGAGAGATACGATGCCGATGGAAGGCGTCAATGTTAGCGGACTACTTCTGGAATTTGAGAAGAGATACCCCTAACAGCGATTACAAAAGACAAACGAAAAAGAAGAGAAAATCATAATTAAAACACGTTTAAATATTTTGTTAATATTTCTATATTCCGAATTTCATATAAAAAGTAAAAAATAATAATAAATAAATATTGTTTTTTTTTTCAATAAATTGTTTTGTACTTTAACGTGTTACTAAAAGTCACATTTTGTATTTTAGGTATATTTCCAAAATAAGAGCTAATTAAAAAAAAATATGCGTGTTTTAGTATTTAGTAACCTCAAAGCAGTATGAAAATATAGTATTCAATTTAATGGCACACAAAAAGTTAAATTTTGTAGACCAGTGTAATATATAAAACATGTACCTATCTAATGCGACTGTCCGAACAAAAAGAAAACATAGCAGTTGGAAACCTGGTAGACCAATGTAAAACTTAGCTAAAAACAAGAAGCATCTATTGGCAACTAAATCATTTAAACAATTTTTATTAAAATTGGAAGGGAGAGGTAAGACTTTTTATCTTGGTCAGTCTATATATATAATAATTAACTATAGTGTATTTCCACTGGTACATTCAAATTTACTGACGCATATGTGTTAGCAGAGTAGCGCATGCAATAACGCATGCGTTTCTCTCTCTTTTCATTTAAGAGTTCTCTTGTCGGTGCAGCTAATTCACGCATTTTCTTCCAGCCAGTTTGATTCCATGTCATATCTTGGATCTCCTTGTACGATATGACTCCTAGTGTTTCCTTTGTCTGTCCCATGTAATTATTCCTCGGTCTTCCTCTTCCTCTTTTGCCCTCTATTTTTTCTTCTACTATGCTCTTTAAAAAATCGTCATATCGTATAAACTCGCTCAGCATTTTGCTTCTTTTATTCTTTTTTGTTTTATTATTGTTCTTTTCTCATTCATCCTTTTCAAGACTTTCTGATTCGGTACATTTTCTGTCCTACTTATCCTTTCCATTCTCCTCCATGTCCACATTTCAAATGCCTCAAGCATCTTTCTTTCCTTTTGCGTCTATGTTTCACACCCATATAATGCTATGTTCCGGGGCGAAAGGGATTGTTAGCAATGGAGTTTGACAGCTCCATTGCTAGCAATATACCTTTTTAGGTCGACCTCTACGTGGTTCTCCCTGGAATGGTTTCCAGTTTTCGTGAACAATTCCTGTTGAATTCGTCACGATGGGCTAACTGACCTACTCTATCCTCATCTATCATCTTTTACTGGTGCTCCGCCGGTGTATACCGATAGCACGGGTGGGGTTACCATTCCATTATCATCCATTACAAAAGAATGCAATGTTCCAAATGTAAGTTTTTATAAATTTCTTAAGGATAATTTTTGATATTTTCTATGTATATATGTTTTTCGTTATTATAAACCTGTAGCGTACTCTGTGATTATACTTCCTAAGTAGTTAAAGTTCTTAATATTTTGGATAAGTATGTTATTTATCTTTATTTGACTTTCCTTTTGTATTGTAATTGGTTTTTTAAGAATAGTGTGTATTTTGGTTTTATTTGTGTAAATTTTGTGTAACATTTTCCTTAAAAATTGTATCCATATTAATTTGATAATATTTCTAAATCTTTACGTGTTTCTGCTATTACTGCTATGCCATCACCAAATTTAATCTATTTAATTATTTTCCTATTGAACTGGACATCTTTATCGATAGAATGTCTTAAATTTTTCTTATAGCTGTCCTCTGTAAATAGTTAAATATGAGTGGTGGACAACCTTGTCTTATTCCTTGACGAATTCTTACTTTTCCTTTCTTCTCTCGTATTTTTTACAGTTTCTTGATATTTATATATTTCGTAGACTATTCTTCTATCCCTGAAATCTAACCCCGAATCCTTTAGTAATTCCATCATTTTCTTCCAATCTACTCTATCGAAAGCCTTCTCCAGATCTACAAAAGCGATATGTGTATTCTTCTATTGTAAGTCTCAGCGCTAAAAATGCCTCACGCGTACCTCTGTTTGCTTTAAATCGATACTGTCTTTCCCTAAATTGACTTTATATTGATCTTATTCTATTTTGTATTATTTTAAAAATTATCTTGTAAGTGTGATATACCGGTTAAGGTATTGAACTGTACCATACGAAATAAAATTTGTTTAAGTTTAAAATTGTTTTTTGTAATAAAAATATTGCCTTTAAACCTTATTAAAAACGAAACAGTGAGCACTGCTTGCAATGTAAAACGTAATAAATGTCGTTTGTTTCAGGACAAATTCAAATAGTGCCTAATTCTCGGGGAAAAGAAATTATCATGTATAAGAATTACACGTTCTCCTATCGTAATAACAGGCGGTTAGCGGTTTGTTCTAAAATCATCAGCAAGAAATGCAAAGCTCAGCTTAAATTTATGCCCGACGGAAAGACCATATTGCTCGCTCACACCGAACACAATCACGAAGCGCCCGTGTTTCATAAAATGTCTAATGGTAATTATATAAAAATTAATTGAATTTGATGGCAACATTATACGGGCTTGGTCATTTCAAGGCGTGGAAGGTAACCCCTATCACACAAAACTTTTTATAGGGCCGAAGGGTTATGTTTAAGGGGTATATATATATATATACATCTATATATATATATATATATATATATATATATATATATATATATATATATATATATATATATATATATATATATATATATATATATATATATATATATATATATATATATATATATATATATATATATATATATATATGCATATTTAAATTTAGTTAAGAGTGTACCAACATTTATATTATGAACTGGTAATTATTTGTTCGACATGTAATTGTTTAAAATAATTTATGGTATATATACTAATATAACAGTATATAAGTAGTTTTAATCATACGAACGCTAGTTGTATCCCACGGCGTTGCCTGCCTGAATCAGTAAGTATGTAAAGTATCCTATGTGCTAAGTTAGGTTAGGCTACCTAGCTGTGTACCATATTTCATTCAAATCAGTTCAGAAGTGGGGGAGATTGTTAGTATTACGGACTGTCGGTCCCATTGCTAGCAATATTCCCTGTCAGGTCAACCTTCACGAGGTCCCCCCTGAAAACCACCATGTTGAATACCAGGTGTACTCATCACGATGGGCTAACAGATCTGGCCTTTTCATTCTCACCTATCATCCCTCACTGATGCCCTGCCAGCGTATACCGTTAAATTTTTATTAATTCATTATTTTTGTCATATCCTACAATTCTTTTGACTTTATCCAGAATTCTTTTTTAAGGTGAGTATGGTGTTTATACCGCAGTCTCTCGCTTCTCAAAGGTGAGCGCAACTTATAAAGCTGGGATTTTTATGGATTTACAATTTCTGTCGAAAACGACATAGTTCATAAAAATTCAGTTATATATGTAGATAAAAAATCACCATAAGTTTTAAAAATAACTATTTTTAATAACTGCTTACTAATTACCGTGGCTCATTATCGTTATGAAATAACACAAAGGAAAAATTTTTCATTGTATAAAAATAAAAATAAAAAAATAGTAACGTGTGTATTTAATTCTTCTTAATGATCTTTAAGGGAACAGTAAAAGTCGTTGAAGGATTAGTTTTATTCACTTTAAAATCTTCCACTAGATAAACGAATCGACTCTACTGTAGAAGGTAAACTCTCTTGTGAATGGAGTTACCTCAAAGATCACAGATATAGAGAATACTCTCTATACAGGATCATGTGTCTGTTCAGCTATAATAAAATAGAAGACAGCGCTCCGGGATTTTCTACTATACAATATTAATAAAGTAATTAATTTAGCTTCGTGACATAACTAAATGAAGAATATAAAAATTGTTGTTCTTGTAGAGTCAGTCGCAGTCTGAGCGTTGAACCATCAACACTAGGCTCCGAGCAACAATCAATAAATTGCCTGATAATATCTCATTTAGAGATTTAAAAATATATCGCAACATATGTGCGGACTCAATGACGGTCAGTTTGATGACTAATGGAGAAGGTGGAGAGTCTCTATTAATTGTAGTTAATCTCGAATAATGGCAATTGATAAATTAAATTAATAAATTTAAATTAATTAAATAAAATTAAACATTGAAATCAATTTAATTAAATAAATTAAATTAAATTAAACATTGAAATAAATAAAATTATTTAAATTGATAAATTTAATGGAATAAAAGTAAATAATAATATAATAGTAGCGAAACGAAATAATATAATTTTAATCAACTCACCAGTGATATGAACTTCCGCAAATCGTTTCGGAGAAATTTTGGGGGAAAAAGAATGAACTTTAAAATAATTTAATTAAGTTTTTTTTTTATTCAATTAACATAATTATGTTTATCTAGGAAATAAAATAAATTACCGTTCTTTTTTCTATCATAATAGCTTAATATTTAATTACTAAAATGTTTGTTTCACAGGAACAGCACACATAATACCAGTTGCGCAAAATAAGACTGCGGTCATGTACAGAAATTATACTTACTCATACATAGGTACTACTAAGCGACATTTGATTTGCTCAAAGAAGAGAAGTGGTGGATGTCCAGCTCGATTAAAAGTGGATAATAACTTAAAAGTGCTATTCGCAGACGTGACCCATAATCACCGACCACCAATATTCATTAAAGGCATTCAAGGCATTTATCATAGAGTTTAATTAATTCAATTTATGAAATTTTGGCTTTTGGTCACAAGAAAATATCAATGTTTTGCTCTTTGAGGGCAAAGTATTAAACTTAGTTGTGACCATTTTGTGTTACTATGGCGCATTCACGAGATATTGGCGCATGAATTTACAAATAAATATTATTGTACAGATTTAACAATATCTAATCATTTAGACAGTTTTGTTAACCATTGTTTATTTTATTAGAACAACCTGTGCGAGACAATGTTTTAACTCTTTGCATTTTGGTGTCGCCGTATTTGCGATATTAAAATGCTAACATTAAATCCACTGTCGCGGCTACGGCGACACGGTTGTTTTACTGACTCAGATATACCCATTATAAAATAGTTAAGTAATAAATGTTTTGTTTTTTAATCACAGGTATGTACTTGTAACTAATATAGTGCTGGAGTTATTTCTATCCTCTATGAGTTACTAGGCTGGAATGCAGTGTTAAATATTATTTGTAATAGACCAAGAATATTTACAATATCTATGGATCGTCTCATCTTTTATTAATACGTTCCCGATTGAAGTTGCTTAATTACAAAGTGATTATACGCCTGTTTGTTTAAAAAGTAATTCCTCTTTGCAGATAAGATCTGCGTGCTACATTTTCCTGGCAACAAATCTATTGCACTATATAAAAATTATACATACTCGTATGTAACTGGCAGAGTGAACCATTTGGTCTGCTCTAAAAAGAGAAGGGGGAATTGTCACGCCCGTCTGAAACTCGACGATGACGGATATGTGATCTTTGCTACCGGAGTACACAATCATCCGCCTCCAAATTTTCATATATCATCCAATGGGACATATATTAAGCTGTAGTATTATAATAAAGTCGATATCACTATAATTCCGATCATGGTAAGTTTTCGATCTAGTGAAGTTATTATTAAGAAACATTGTATTTATATTATTTGATAATTCAGTTTCGTTCTAGTCATGATTAATTTGAAAGTATTTGCCACGCCGACATCGAGCCGGGAACGAACCTTAATCGGCATTATAGTCAGGGGTCTACCATGAAATGAAATACCGAATTTTCGGACTCAATTTCGTGTTTTTATTCATACCAAAATCAGATCAGTAAATGGAGCTTAACATTTTGTTTATCATAAATCCTACCATAAAAGTACAATGGAACGATATTTTAACGCTTTTAATATTTTAAAACGGTATGGTATTATGTAACTTTAAAATGAAATTTGTATTCAGTTCGGTTTCGAAATTTTGATAACATTTCACGGTAGACTCTCTAAATCTAGTCTTTTCAATATCGTGTGTTCAAAACGTATAACAAAAGGGAAAAGTTATTTTTCAACGCAATCGTGTATTTCTCTAAAGCTTTGGGGTTTTTTTTTTTTTTTTACTATAAACTTCATTAAAACAGTTTAAAGAAAATTAATGTAAATTAATTTTGTAAGAATTATTGTGTGTGATAATAATAATTTGTAAGTTTATTGAACATGTACGTTTTCTACACAGGAAGTGTGACGTACTTCTGTACAGAAAGTAGACTTGACCTTAATTTACTAGTATGAGATAAGTAGCATATTGGAGTCCGCTAGTCAATTCTTAATGTTAAAAGTAAATATCGTGCCAAGCAACATAAATTGTGTCATGGTCATGTTGGAATGTGAAATAAAAAAAAAATCACCAACCATTTCAATTATTTTTCGTGTTGAGTATATCATACCAGTCTTAACTGTCCAATGCTGAACATAAGTGAGTTTTTACTACTAGTAAAAAACCTGTACCTTTGAGTGTTTTACTAGTAGTTGCTACGCTTGGCAGGCGGATTGGTAACCGCAGCTAAGCTTTGGAGACGTTTTAAGAGGGATGCTGCTGACCTTCCCTCGCTCTCCTAAGTCGCTTCTTACGACGCCCATATGAATGGAAGAGGTGGCGTTTTCTATGCCGCCACGAGGATTTCGTGTAGTATCCAATGGGATATACATTAAGCTGTAGAATTAAACTTATTATAAGTATTTATATTCAACAAATATTCAACAAAAAATGCTAACGCAGGAGGTACTTAATTCGGTTGTATTTTGTTATGTTTGTTACCTCATAACTCTGTCAGTTCTAAACCGATTTGGAATTCTTTTTATCTGAAAAGATACACTTACTGATTAGTTTTATAGAAATTTTAACAAAATCAGTTCAGTGGCTTATTTAGTTTTTAGATTAAAACAATTAAGGTTTTTTTTTTTTTGTGGGACACAATCTTTAATCTGTTATAGTTCATATGGATAGATAAAACAATTGTCTTGGTTTTTACTGTTTAGCAATAATTTGTCATAAATTTATCTGTGTCAATTATAGTGTTTTATCTCCGTCAAGATAGATTCTTTATTTAGTAAAAATGTTAAAACTGTCTAAAGTGTTTATTGTAAAAATGTAGTAGTATAAAGTGTTTGTTTTGTGTGTTTATATGTATTGTGTATTTAAAAATTGCGTGGATTGTCATTTACTTTACTCTTGATTGTATTTTTATTCTTTTTGGCAATTTTCAGGTGACGAACAGATAACGGTTCTACCTACAACTAACAATAAAGTTATTTTAATGTATAAAAAATATTCTTTTTCATATAAGAATGCTAAAAGCAAAACTTTGGCTTGCTCAAAACGACTAAGAGGCAAATGTCCTGCTAAATTAAAAGTGGACTCTGAGGGGAACGTGGTGTTATCAGTAAATGAACATAATCATTCACCGCCAAATTATCACAAAACTGCCAATGGTTTATATGTTAAGATATCTTAAGTTTTTAATAAATGCCGTCTAATAATGATGAGAACTTGAAACGTGGAGGCGCACCTGATTTAATTATTAATGAGAAATCTCATTTAAACTTTTGTTTTATTCTCTTTTTAAAACAAAAAACTGTACTATGACCTTTTTATTTAATACCTCATCACAAAATTTGTCAAACCAGTAATATTTAGGATAGGAAAGGATATATATTATTTTTTTCAGGCAATCAACAATTTCAGTCAAAAAACAACAACAAAGGCGGATAAAGTTTATTTTTATTTTCAACTTAGAATAGCAAACAAGTTGACGGCCCACCTGATGGAAAATGGTAACCGTTTTGCCCATCACACCTCCCCATGCGTTACCATTCTTGAGGACTCAGGTGTCATTCCTCTGTACCCTGTAAATTTACTGCCATATCACACCCTTCAAATCGAAACACAGCCATGCAAACATAACTGCTTCACAGTAGAAACACGAATAAGACAGAGGCACCCAAGCAAACGATTTTCGTACAAAATTTCTCTCTGGTAAAGTGTCAAATAAAGACTAGAAGAGCATGATTGGTATAATTTACTGAACAGATATTAATACTTCTTTAAACGTACCGTGAAAAAGTACTCACTGATCCGTCATAGTGCGGCTAATCGTTGAAAGTACAGTTCTATTCTCGGTTGGTCGTATTCATGGACCATGTCGTCTGTATTCGCTAAGCATGATGTGGTCACATGTCGAGCTAATATTAAAAAAAAAACACGTCAAAAAAAACTAATTTAAATCCAATTGACACCTAATTGGTATTTGTTGTTTTGTATGCACATTTTTAGAGTATCTTTATCCCATTTTGTGTACGTAAGTGAATTAATAAATTTCTATAATTCTCTTACTAATTAATTACTGTGGTACAAAGTGATCTATATATATAAATTTATCTATATCTGTTTTTATTTGTATGCTGTATGTAATGCAGTTATCTATCTATCTATCTTTCTGTCTTTCTATCTGTCTATCTTTCTATCTTACGCAGTATCTAGGACGCGTTAAATTGTATAAAATGTAATTTTAAATGCTCTTTCCCTCTGCTATTTCATTTTTGAACATAATTATACAAGGTAAAGTCTTATGTAAACTGTTTTTTTAAATATATATCATATAAAAATATTTATTATTAAATACTACTTGTTCCGATAGATGCCGTTTTGTCCAAATTATTCTTTTTCCCAATAATAATAATAATGGGGATTAGCGACTTTAATTGATAATAATATTGTATAAGGTCGACTTCCACGCGGTACTTATTATAAACCATCATTTATTTATTTAATAGTTTTTTTTTTTTTGTAAAACGATTGTACAGACGGAGTGGCCATTCTATTTTATTAAGTGTAATGTAAAAGTAATTCAGCTCGGAAATACGATCAGGATCCATGACCTTCCTCTTATTAGTCAATTCAACTTTGATCTCTACAAGCTAGATAATTGCTAGAAGAAGAAGCTAGAGAATGCTAGATAATTTTGTAAATAGTATTTTTTACCAAAGGAAGAGAATGCTATATAGTACTCGTAGTATTAAGTCTGCCTTTTGTACCAGACATTTTTTTGTAATAAAGAATAAATAAATAAAAAAATAGTATACCTATAACCTGCTAGTTCTACAGTTTGTATATAATTGAGGGCTAACGTGGCACAGTAGTGGTCATGTTGCGTAAATGAGGTCCCGGGTTCGACTCCCGGTCGGGCCAATTTAGGGAACGAATTTTACTGCATTGGCTCGAGCCTGGGTGTGCTGGGTAGTATATATGTAGGTATTTTTTTCTATTTATGTAATATTTAAGTTTAAATATTAATAAACTGGATTTACATATCTATGGTGCAAGTTATTCATTTTATCTTATCGTATTATTATTATATAATTGTTAGTTATTGGAGGAAAGGGATTGTTAGTAATGAAGACTAGTAACCTGGTCAGGTTGACCTTGCGGTTCTGGAAACTGTCGTAATTAATGGCAGGTGAATTCGTTACGATGGACGAATTGACCTGCCTTTTTACTCCTCACTGGTATCCGGCGCGGGGAAAGGGATTGTTAGTAATGGAGACTGAGAATCCTATTGCTAGCAATATACCCAACCAGGTCGACCTCCTCGCGGTTCTCCTTGGAAACTATCATGGTTAATTCCTGATGAATTCATCATGATGGGCTAACTGGGCTGTTTTCATTCTCATCTATCACCCTTCACTGGTGCTCCGCCAGCGTATCCCGTTAGCGCAGGCGGGGTTACCACCCTTAAAAAAAAACTGGTATCCGGCAGGATCAAGGGTCGGCAACCAGCGGCTCGCGAATCACATGCGGCTCCTTGGATGTGAAGCTGTGTGATCTTTAATTCCATACGCAAATATTATTTATTTTATAAAAAAATAATAAATCGTTCTGGATTGATTAACAAGGATTAGGCACCAAACTCTATTTATGCAAGTACTATTTGTTGACAAGAAAATTTTTTATGGCAACACACTCACATGAGGAATAATAAATAGTCTTAATTCTTATTGATACTATTCTAATCTTGTATTTTCTTATTAATCCTATTGTTTTATTGTAGGTATATTTGTAGTACGTGGTAAGAAATGCATGGAGTATCAAGCGAATTTAAAAGTTGCCTTGTCCCAAATTATATCTAAGCAAATAAGTATCAGACAGGCGTCTGTACTGTACAGTATACCGAAAAGTACGCTCCACGATAGAGTAAAATTGTTTAAACAAGGTAACTACAGGCGAGCATACGCGCATATAATTCTCCATTAATACGATCCGGACCAAGATTCATAAGTGGACGTACTGTCGAAGTCATGGAACAAATATTAATCCTAGGAGAACAGTCTACACTGGAAGGATTACGCGAAATCTTGTTATAATATTTAAAGCTTTAAAAGTGAATATTGGAAGACCAAGATTCTTAAGTGGAAGTACTGTCGAAGTTATGGAAAAAGCATTAATTCTAAGAGGAAAGTCTACACTGGAAGGATTACGCAAAATCTTGTTATAATATTTAATGTTTTAAAAGTAAATATTAGAAAGTGTATTGCACAAACGTTGACCGCATTAATACCTCTGTTCATCCCGTATTTGAAGGTTTAAAGAGTATGACAGTGACATTACGGGGCAAGCAGACAACACCACAGATCTTAGGCATACGAAACGTATTGGAAATTCCATGGGTGTCATATTGGTGTATAACAATATGGTGTTCATAATACTATTCATGTTTATAGAGGACAGTTAACACTTTTAATGAGGTAGGCCCTTGATTGCCATTCTAAATTTTATAAAAAAAACTCTATTCACATTTAAAATATTAAAACCATATAATTCTTTAAATGAGTTTTATAGAAATGAAAAAAAGTTCATCATTTTGTCTAGATGTACTTATTTTGTAGCACACTTTGTAAGTATTACATCAAGACAAGGGTATTAAAAAACTGTATGAACTGTGACAGTCAATCAATACATAAAAAAAAAATAATGGGTGCTTTTTTAATCTTCCTGATTTTTTTAACACCAGCAAAATATAATCAATTAATAATATTCATATTAAATACTCTTTTATTATTATTTTGTAACTGTTATAACTTCGTGAAGGGAATTTATTTAATATCTTAGACTAAAGGATGATTTCCACCAAACGGTTTGCGTTATTCGGAACGGATTTTATAATCTTTATTCGATATGAAATCGTGTACACAGTATTTAAAGTCTATATTACCAAGCTGCGCACAGTAGTTTGACCGTGGGCATCTACTGCGACATGCGATTGTAACAGAAAATATGCTGCGACACGCGATTGGCTCCGTTCGCTTGTCGTCGTATCCGGTCGTTTCTTTTCGGCTGTCGTCGCGAGCGGCAAGGCCGTAGCCAGGCGGTGCTATTTATTTTTATTTTATTCTTCTCTGTTTTATGATTATTTTCTTTTACTCTGTTTTATGATTATTTTTTTCTTCCAATGAAATAGCTAACAATGCTGTAACCAGTAACCTTTTTCAAACCTTAGAATTTGTCAACATGGTAGAAAGGAAACTGTTAAACTAGGCGCACAAAAGGATATATTCATAAACGACTATGCGTCGACATCCTACCGGACGCGATCAGCTGTCACCGCATCCATTCGTATCCTTTTCGATCCGATGCGATGCTAGCCATTTGGTGGAAATCATCCCATAGTGTTTTTTTGTTCGGGAAATGTAGTTTACCCGCCGTGGTGCCTTGTTGCGCTAGTGTTCCATAAAATAAATAATATTGTTAAACTTAATACAATTTATAATTAAGCGATTGTTACCATTATTCGAACTTTTCAATAGTTACGTTTAATATTTGTTAATAACTTTATGTATTAACGTTGTAAATATAATTTTATTTTCATCTTTTACATTTGACTATGTTTTATTTTTTCCGAATAAATATTAATAATCTATTAAAACTATATTTTATTTCAGTACATTATTATTATTATTGATTTAATATTAATTTAATCCTTTTGGGCTTTTCAACTTCCGGTTTTTAATTAAAGATTAACCTCCTTTATTCATGAAAACGTCAAATCTATTTTAGCTATTGAAACATTTTATTCTTTTCTTTTGCCGTAAATTCTTAATTTGAAAGATAGTGACAACACACACTAATAGTTAAAATAGGTTTATAGGACCGTTTGTTTTTATGAATAAGGGGGTATTTGTATTGCTGATTTGGCATAAATTAATTTCTCTAGGATACTCACGGGATTTCAAGTCTGTAAAGGTTGTAAGAGAGTATCATTGTAACTAAACTAAATATATATATATATATATATATATATATATATATATATATATATATATATATATATATATATATATATATATACTCGTTTATTGTTTTTTCTACAAACATCAGTTACTATTATCATGTGAATATTTTTACAGATTCGCCGTTTAAACTGCTGCCGCTGTACAATAACCGATCAGTCATTTTATATAATAATTACACCTTCTCATATCACGATCATAGGAAATTGACATTGCAATGTTCCCAAAAACTAAGTACAAAATGTGTGGCCAGGATTAAGCTGGATAGATACGGTAATATCAGGTACGCTCTGTTGGACCACAACCATTTTCCACCGAAATATCATATGACAAGCGGAGGATTTTATGTCAAAACGTCTTAGAAAATGGAAGATTTATTTATTAATTAAATTTTGTTTTGTTTTACTTTTCAATTGATAATTACTATATAGAGTGAAATAGAAGTCGTTAGCATCCTTTTTCAAACGACTTCATAAAGAAGGAAAAGTTCTCAATTCGATTGTAGTTTTTTTTATGTTTGTTACCCACTATAAGCCTGTCGGTTCTAAACCGATTTCAAAGTAGTTTAGTTTTGAAATAAAAATAACTGGGTTTGCCACAATTGATGTCGCTTTTTTTGGGAAATACAATCTTTAATTATTAGTGTTCTCAAAACCAAAATAAATATTTTTCCCATAAAACGTGGTTCATCAATAATAATTTTGGTCCAATTGTGTTAATTGTCAGAGTGCAACCATCTGTCAAAATAAATGCTAATGATTTCAAATTCACTCAGTTCTTGATAGATATATTTTATTATTGAAAATAAAGTACAATAAAGGAAAAAAAGTTGTTTAATTCGTTGATATATTCATACATTGATGATTGTCATTAGTAGGATTGTACTATAATTAGAAACGTGAAAAATGTGTATGTAATTTATTCTGATTACATGTTATTTTTTCATGCAAAAACTACTTACTAATGCTGTTTTCTAAACTTTATTCTACATAAACTTAATGCAGAACCTCCGAATCTATGTTTGGACAGAGTTAAATGCTCTTTGTATGGAGTGTTAATAGATACAGTAATAATAATAATAATTGACAA